TCTGCGATAGGCGTTTTGTTGGAGACACGTTTTCTGGTCGCGCATTTACCTGCGACCAGTCACGTGACGCGAATTTCTGATAAGGATCGTATTTATTGGCTAGAAAACGTTGCAAACAAACAACGTTTCTCATCAAGTGTTTGCTTTCTGCGGCTGAAATCGGAATAGGCTATAGATAGAATGATGAGTGTATCACATGGTAGAGATAACCGGTCGTAACCATCACCGTTACTGATATATGAGGGCGAGCGAGATTATGACATTCCCTAGGAGTTCTGATGAGCATGGGTGGGAGTTGGGGGGGTTTTATGTTCGTGTCTTATTCAGGCTGCGGAGGATGCGGACTTACTTTTTCAATTGGCTGTTAAGAATATCGAGATGGAGAACGACCTCGACAAGCGGTATAGTCGAGGAGATGGTGACTTGTCATTCAAAGGAATAGTTTCTAACTGTTTTGAACCGTAAGTCCCGGGTTCGATCCTCGCATGGAGCAGATATTATTGCATATTTATTGGAGGCGATTGGCATGCCTTGAAATCTGTTGGTTCTCATGCAGTTTGGTGTTAACATGGGATGACTGTTCGTGATGTGTCATTATGAGAGCGCATATTCGTTCCTTTTAGTAATGATGCAGTTCTATATTTGTCAGCCTCGGTAGCTCAGTCGGTAGAGCGCGTGCCTTTTAAGCCCGTGGTCGTGGGTTCGAGCCCCGCCCGAGGTGTTTAGTGCCGTTCATCGTCATATTCGGATATTGTGTAGATATTTGAGTGTTTGGGTTAACCACGAGGAATCTTTATTGTGCGCGCAAGTTGACGAAGCTGCAGCCAAGGAGAACCCAGAGATCATGGGGTCTAAGAGGGGTAGGTGTCTTTTCCTTGGTAGCATAGTCTAGTCACTTGCGTATATCTCGGGCTCGCTTAATAGCATATATCATTGATGATTTTGCGGGCTGGTTTGTCTTCGACTTTGGAAATTCTGCATTTTTTGTGCACTTTTTCTTGCAAATTTTTTCCTTGTTCGAATTCACTTTTCTCATCAACGAGCATGCTATCCCAATTGAGTGGGTCGGGATAGTATCAGCCAGTTCAACCGAACAGGAGAGAGCTCTTTTTTTGTGCATCTCCCCTCGCTGAGGCTTTTCATCATTTTTCCTCTTGTGTCGATCACGGCTCGCCGCCAGGTTCGGTGCCGACGTCGTCGACCCTCGCGTCCGACGGCGCTCAGACTGAGCCGGTGTTCGTATACACGTCGGTGGTCGAGTTGTTCACTAAGATGAAGAAACTGTTCAAAAACTGCAAAAGCGTTTCTACCAGCAACACGATGTTCTTGCTCTGTGTGAAGAGCTTCCGAGTGGCTCTAGATCGATACACTGATAAGGTAGGGCAACTCGCCTTGTCTCCGTTGACATTCCTCATTATGTTGCGCGACCTGCGCCAGAACTTAGCCAATTTCCTTGTTCTATATTCGCATCGAAACTCTTTCACTAGTCGATATTTGATGTAGAGATTTGTGGATATCAGAGCTTCGAGACGGTTGCTATAATAGGTGTTCTCTGATGGCATGTGACTGGTTGTGTCCAACTATAGGTTCTATCCTCGAGGGTGAGAGCATCGGCAAGTGATGAACAGATTTACGCGGTTGCCGGCTCTTGCGTGTGAGTGACTGGGTCGATTCGGAATACAACAAATATACTCTGATAAGCATCGGTATGTTTTTTATCAAGGGAATATGTGTCGGTGGGCGTGACAATAGGAGAATAACCTAACACTCTGTAGATCTCATTTGTCGTGTTTCGAAACTTCCGCCGGACCGAGAATATCGATCCGTCCGGCCCTTACATATTCGATCGATAATTTCCCAATTCGAGCGTCATTTTCGAGAGTAATGATTGAAAATTGCGGTAATGGGAGGTTCTCAGATTAGTTTTAGAATATATATTTGGTTTCCTCCCTAACCATAGGATTTCGCGTACGAGTCCGAGGAGAAATGTACAGGAATCAACGAGAATTTCCCAAAATTTCCTCGGAATTTTGATATTGCCAACACCAACACATCAGGTACATCTCACAGACACTGCCTCTACTGGCAGGCAGTATCAGCGATGCGATCGACGATCAATTGAAGGCTCAGATCAACTTCGCCAAGCAAATGGAGGAAGCCGCAGATGTCGAGTCGCAAGCTATCGAGTAAGTCTCTGTGCGGCTGCTGCTTCGCTCCGCCTTTTTTCTCACGTTTTTCCTCAGGCAGCTGTCGAGTCGAGCGGCCGATCAGTGCATCAGGCGCATTTCGCAGCTCTTGAAGGATGGACAGAAATCGTGGACGTCCGCTGATAACGCTGAAGTTAACTCTGTGGTGAGTGATGAAGTGCGGCAGCAATCAATGACTAGGAATCAGTGAAGTGCTAGCAGTCTTTCACATGTTCGGAACGTTTATCGTCGTTGTTACTGTTGATATTGTTGTTGCCCTTGCTGTAGCCATCGTTGTTGTTGTAGTAGCTATTGTTGTTGTTGTTGTTGTTGTTGATCCCTGTTGTTGTTGTTGTTGTTGTTGTTGTTGTTGTTGTTGTTGTTGTTGTTGTTGTTGTTGATGTTGTTGGAGGCAACTGTAGTGCTGAAGATTGTGAACTTGTTTGTTCTATTGCAGGTTTCTCGGGCTCATCGGTGCCTGACGGTGAATCTGCGGGAGGCGGCCCAGGGCCTGACTGAGCCGCAGTACAGCACTGTGGCAGAGGGAGCGATGGTTAAAATAATAGAGGACTACTGCACTCTCATATTCACAGGGCTTAAAGAACCAGTGAGTAGCTTCAATGGGAATAGAACCGGGGACCTTTCGGTGTGTGTCAGGTTGACTCGACCACGCGAGTGGAGTTGCTGGGTACATTGACTGGTGGCCTTCAAACCCTACTGTTAGAGTCGCCAGTTGAAGGAGCGTCTGCGGCAGGAGAGAACACCTTGCAGGCCATGCATGCCTACTCAGCGGTGACTTGCAGGAGGATGCAACTGTGAGATGAAATCTCGCTCGCCCTGAAAAGTTCATATATGTTCCGACTCAGGCCGCTGGCGGTCCTCCGAGCGCTGTCGGTGCAACGGTCTGGGGAGGATGCTATGAAAGTTGAGATCATCCAGTCGTTGTGTGCCGATCGTGAGGATACTCCTACAGAAGAGGCAATCGATCAGGTTGGTGCTTGCTGATCCACAAATCTTCGCTGTGCGCAGTGCGTATCTTTAGGCGTTGAGTGTAGCTAGATCGATGCAACGCGGCGGTGGTATGAGTGGAAGAATCGCGAGAGAAGCTGCGTCGAGCACGGGGTCGGCGGGGGCCAGCAGTGCCCCGGGGTCAGCGATGGATAGTGCGAGGTCAGGAGTTGAGGAGGTTGGACCAATGGCTGTCCAGTTTGGTGAGGAGATGAGTTGCGAAAGGTGTGGTATGAGTATCTGCACGCATGGACAGGTTCAGTATTCACCTCGGCTTGGGGAACTCTTCAGAGCCAGGTTGATTCAGCTCGATCGGCCCAGTCTACAGCGGACGCACGTCGCTCCGCTGAGGGACGTCGAAACGCACCCTCACCCTCACTGGCCAACAACAACAACAGCAGTAGCTCTTCCAATACAGGTGGGATGCGTCTCATTGCGGATGGCCACTGATTCTGGTATCACATGACTTTAAGGATGAAATTCAAATTCAGAATCGATTCTGAAGCCACTTTGATTGGTGATGATGATTTGAATCTGCTCAGAATCGGTGGCTTTGGGAGTCTCCTCGAAAACGGCGACGCCTGCGGTGGACAACGGCGATGTTGCGGCAAAGATGCAACAGATGTTCAAGAACTTGGGCGAGCAGTGGAAGACCAAGTTCGTTAACAAACCTTAGTGTTTCTATTACCACCACTTGCACTCTTGCGTTTCCTCAATGCAACGGTGGTACACGAGGGACAGAACGCGAACATGGGATCTGGTCATGAATACTGATCGAGGCAAAGTTATGGTTAGGTTACTGGAAGGAAATCCGAATCGAGAACGTAAATATGTCGGAGCTCTGTCGCGCGAGCGGCGCGTCGAGTAAAGATTCAACGAGTGCATGTTCACGTTTTTGAACAGTGAATCCATTAGATTGTTTTGTACTTGTAGTTGAGCGGAGTGCACAACTATGGAATCTTAGCTTAGCTCGAAACAAGGGGATGATTTTATGAGTACGATTGTAGGTAGAATCTCTAGATTCCACTCACCATTGTCTTGAGTTCCTTAATGGTTAGTCTTCTATTTCGAGTCGTATGGGAGTTTTCATAGTGTAGTGAAAAAACTCTTGAGAATTCGAGGAAACTAGAAGTATACTCCAACAATGCCCTCCAGCTCTTTCGGGAGAACGCCTACGACGATCCGTACAGACATTTCACAAATGGCAACAGTTTATACGCTGAAGTTGTTCGAAAAAAAGATTCCGAAACTCAGAATCGCGTATAATACGATGCTAGAATTGATTCTGAACTCCACAATTATTTCAATGCGCATGGGGGCTATGCTCATCATCGGGGTGACCTCTTGCCCATCTCGCACTTCCACAATTTATACGTAATAAGATACGTCAGGCGTTTCACGTAAACTGTGAGCCCGCGGACAACGCTAACATACGTTTTCAGTGTAAATTTTTCGCGTTTCGCGAGAGTTGACTTATTAAAATTGACAACAACCGCCAATCAACCCGTGCAGTCTATAATCTCTTACTTCATTCTCTCGCGTATTCGAAAACGTGATTTCCCTTGGCGGCGACGGCCGACTCGATGTATTATGATAGTTTGTCGTTATTGTTGATCCCATGACTAAAGTAAGCCTCCTCGGTGCTTCTGGTGGTATCGGCCAGCCTCTGTCTATGCTCCTCAAGCTGAATCCTATGATCACCAAGCTCGCTCTCTACGATATTAAGCAAGCCATGGTTCCATGCGCTGGCGTCGCAGCTGATGTCAGCCACATCAATACTCCTGCTAAGGTGGTTGGCTACGCTGGTGACGATGAAATCGAGTCGGCCTTGAGTGGCGCCAACGTTATTGTGATGACCGCTGGTGTTCCCCGCAAACCTGGCATGACCCGCGATGATCTTTTCAAGATCAACGCTGGCATCGTTCGTGGTCTGGCGACCGCTTCGGCCAAGTATGCTCCTAACGCGACATTGTGTATCGTCTCTAACCCGGTCAACTCCACTGTCCCCATAGCTGCTGAGATCTACAAGAAAGCCGGAGTTTTTGACCCCAAGAAAATCGTCGGTGTAACTCAGTTGGACATTACTCGTGCGAATACTTTCGTGAGTGAGAAAACTGGCATGGATGTACAGCATATGGACGTGCCTGTCATTGGCGGCCACGCTGGCGAGACTATTATGACGCTGTTCTCCCAGGCTAGGCCTGAAGTCAAACTCGACCAAGCTACTATTGAGGAGCTCGACAAGCGTATTCAGAACGCCGGTACTGAGGTCGTCGAGGCAAAAAACGGTGCTGGCTCGGCTACTCTCTCTATGGCCTATGCAGCTGCTAAGTTCGTCGATGTTGTCATTCGTGGCCAATGCGGACAAATCTCAACCGCCTGCGCCTACATCAACGAGCCTTTCGAGGATGTCTCGTATTTCTCCTACAGGTGTGACTTTGGCCCTGAGGGTGTGTCCAGAATACATCCACTTGAAGGACTCACTCCGTATGAGAAGGGCCGCCTTGAGGAGGTGAAGAGGAAGTTGAAGGGGGACATTCAGAATGGTATAACCTTTGCCAACAACTAATGTTTATAACTATCATGTCATTCTTGGTCACATCACGCTATCGTGCCACGAAGTGGATGCTTTCCCTATACTCGAAATGTTGTGTCGGAATGACTAGTTGATAAATTGATCTTGTCAGTGATTGTGGAATCGAGGACTCATGTTACTACTCATAAGCACATGTAAGCCTAGGATGATTTTGTTAATAACTACGAGCACCTCATCCACAGCGAAATATGATTTATCCGGAGCAATATGCGTGGGAGATTGATAGACCATCAAGAGCCTATGCTCGATCTCAAAATCATCATATTGTGATCATCACGGTTGATACCATAACTGTGTGAACGTTGCTGACTTTGAAACCGATGAATGTATGTCATGACAATCAAGGGTGGAAGATAGGATTCACGTGAGTATGGTCCGAGTCTCGCATGTAGTGAACGTGTCTGCATGCGTGAGAGCGGGTGCTTGATTATAAAACTCAGAAAAGAAATGAGAATTATAATAATTATATAGTTCTAGTAATGGTCATTCATCTCAAGCTGGGAATAATGATACAATTCCCAGCTTGAGTATCGTCGACTTTGCTATATTTGACAGAACCACCTGATGCACTATTGTGTTTCGGGTTTCGAGGCGTGTTGGATATTTGCTCGAAGCTAGTATTTAGAGCATAGACATATCGTCATATCATCAGTTTTACACGCTGCTACATGTAGGGACTAATTTCACTGCTTTTATCTGGGGTTAGTTCACTAACCACTTGAACACAACATCAACCCGACAATGACACCCATTCGCTTTCATGCATCGGCATGTTTATCTCATTAAACAGCGCCTCTACTCAACTCGGCTTGGAGCTGACTTAACTCAGCCTCGGCCTTCGAAAGGGCTCTCTCGGCAGCAGGCGGGAGGACGACCTTGTGACTGAAGAAGGAACATTGAGAAATGCTAATAAGATCGGCCATCTCCTTACCGGCGGGCTCTGCCGAGCTCTAGGAAGGAGCTGGGATGACCAGCGACCAGAGATTCTTCTTCCTCTTTAATACTCTCCTCCTGAGGGGAAAAACTCGATACACCCAACAAAGAATTGAACCCGAGACTTGATCACCGCATACCATTAGACTAGTTCGCCTTGGAATGGAGATGAAGCCAGCGTCTCACCTCAGCCTTAGTCTTAGCATTCTCCTTCTCCAACGTCGTCTTCAAATCACTCAACAACTGCATCACATGATCGTCTTTGGTAGCGCCCATCTCCAGGAAGGATATACCAGCATTAGCATTGTTCACAATGGTGTCCTAAGAAAAAAACAACTAAAACGTCAACAACAAAAAACTTCGCTCCGCCTACTCTCTTCAGAGTTTCCAAATCAGCATGAAGTTTGTCCTTCATTTTACGCAGCTGATCTTCCGTCTCCTTTTCCTTAACCTTCTGCGCTTCCAACCAGCCGCTCAACGCGCCTCCACCATCCTGACGGGTCGACTGGAGGTACTCCTGTCCAAAAAACGTCACTGCGCCACGAAATTATCCCCAACCTACATTGTGAATCTTCTCATTATCCGCTGCCCATTTCCTCTCGATGTCCTTCAGAGCCTCCGTCTCCTTCTCAGGGTCGTAGTGGAGAGCACCGGCGCCCGTCTGGAGGAGACTCTCCGTACCAACGCTCGCATCCAACTTGGCTTGAAGGTCTTTAGCAGCATCAGTCTGAAGAAAATACCGTCGCCTAGATTCGAACCCGCGACCTCTCGAATGTCACCTCCTCTCGAGAAAAGGACATGATATCAGCGCTGTCGTGCTTGAGCTTGCCCAAAGTATCATCAAACTCATGCTGCATATGCTCAACGTCACGCTCGTCCTTCTTCAGCTTCTCATTAGTCTGAGTCAGGAAACCATCCAGGAACCTATAATGTTCCCGAGGTGAAACTCATTTTGAATTTTCCACGGATGGCTAGGAACACATTCTTCGAAAAAATTCCTCATGTAAATGTCATCATCACATTAGCAACTTTTTCCCAGACCCTGAGGGATGCTATTCCTCAAAGCTAGATGGGTTTCTGATCTAAGTCAATCTAAGCCTCCCCCCGTCCATCGAAGAGGTAACCCTCACCGCCATGCTCATGAAGTTCAGTCCTCTCTGTAGGAAAGAGCTCTTGGGTAGCTCGGAAAGGCCAGCATCAATACGCACTTTATTAAGGGAATCCTCGAACCTGGAAAAATCCAACAGCATTTCACGCGCCGCAAAATTCACTGCTTCATTCTTACTTGGAATACCACTCCTGGAGAACTTCAGGAGTGAGCGTCTCCTTCACTTCGCCCCTCTGCAAGAAGGAGGCGCCCTCATCCAAGTCCACCGGCGCAGCCGCCGAATCAGATATCTCAAAGCTGAACGGGTGATGGGTCTGTGAGCTCTTCTGGAACTCTCTCTCCTCCGATTCCAACACTCTCTGTTGGTTCGCAAGGTCCGTATTAAGTTTACTAATCTGCACAAAAAAGTGACAACCGCACCGTCGGACTGCTGCGCCATACCGCCTCTTGCGCCGCATTAATGCTCTGCTGAGCCTTTTCACTGTTGGCTTCTATCGATTTGTCGTCCAGCTGGAGGAAGCTCCCTCCTGAAAGAGAACAACTCAGCTCGCCGCGGGCCCAATCAGAATTCGATACGCAGAATTTCGTGGCGCGCGGTCATAACAAGATTCCCTGTACGTGCATGTGTACGGAAATTCAGGAATAAGCATTCCCCAATTTCTCACCAACAGCAGAGGCGAGACTCTTGAGCGACTGTAAAAATGATGGCTGGGGGGAGGGAGAGGACGACGTAGTAGTAGTGGTGCTGTTATCCCTCTGGAGGAATGTCGATATGGGAACTGATGAAAATGACTATGACAAAATCACTTATCGAACTACTCGTAATTCCACGTGTAATACAGAGTTAAAAATTCCGCGAAAACTTACTAATTCTCATAAAAAAAATGACTACAATTCTTATGAAACTCGACGGTTTATTCTACACTTCATTAGTTCACCAAGTCAAACTGATCGCGACGATAACACACACTGTTGCATCAACAGTTAACATGCTAGTCAGTGTGGTGGGAAAATATGCACATGTGTTGGTGATGACAATATGAAAATTCTGTGGAAATTTCGGGGA